TAGTTATTAATAAAATAGATACGTCAGAAAAGGGAAAATTATTTTACCTCACATAAAAAAAAAACTGTCAAAATATAAAAACAAAAACTAGTAATTAAGTAATTTGTATAATTATATATGAATAAACAATAATGTTTTATTTAAGAACATCTCAAAGTTAAATTTCTACTTTTGTTTTAAGAATGAAACCTCAAACAACAACTAGCAGTGGCGCACACTCAAAAATACGGGATAGTCGAATTACACTAATTACCTAATAAAAAATAGTCGAATTGCACATGAGTTAAAAAAAGGTAATGGTCGAACTGCACTCGGATAAAAAAGAAGTTCAAACTTAAGGTGGGTTTCTACTATAAACGTTCACATACAGGAGCATAAAAATGGTTGTAACCGTGTTGTTGGATAAAACTGAAAAATGTTATGTTTCCACTATATACGTCTTTAAAAAAAACTAATAATAATAAAAACGTTGAAAATATTACGTTTATGAAAGCACAATTACTAATAAATACTCATATTTTAATGTACTGACATAAGACCTTCAACAACACAGTAAAAAAAATAAATGATATTGAAAAAATATATTAACTGGAAATGAGTTTAAAAAAAAGTGTAATAATAATAATAATAATATTTGATGATTTAATTAATTAATTTTAAGATTTTATAATATATTAACATTATGGTACGTATAAAAAAATCATTTTTAACCACGACAATGAGTAAAATCATTGACAGTCCTAAGGAAATTAGTCCTAGGAAAATAAGTGAAATTAATAGAAAGAAAAATTAATGTTTTCTAAATGTTTAATCTCTTCAAGTACATGATATTTTTGTTAAAATATTTTTTCTGAGCCCGAGTGCAACCCACATTGGCTTTGGCCCCACATCCCCTTAAATATAATTTTATAACCTTGTTAATAATTATAACTATAATATTAATAACATATTAAATAAGACATTCATTGTTTTTTATTGTTTAATCTCCTACTTAATCAACCTACTATTAATTTAATTAAAATATAGGTTTTCGGTTAATTATGTAATATAATTATTTTCAACAAATATAATATATGAAAAAATAAATATAATTATTATTGTTGTAAAACTAAATAATTACAGTCATGCACACAGGGACTGAGTTATAAACTTTTATAAACAAACAAATATTAATATAATAAAGCATTCTCTAATTGGCTGCAGTTATTGACAAATGTCTTTAACTGTCTGTGGTGTTATGGATGATAAAATACTCATTGGTATACTTTGTCAGTTACCTTTATATAAGCTAATAAAAATAGGCTAATGGCTATATTATTTTTCAGTTTATTTTTGATATTTATACACGTAGTAGAATTATAGAATTATAGATAATTTGGGGATAGGAATCCACTCAACCACCAAAAAGAATTAGGGGTAGCAACTGCTACCCTTGAACCTTCCAGTGTACGCCACTGAATCATAGTATACAAGTAAACGTTCATCTCATAAAGTAAGTATTATAATAGACTTGACTTTAAATAAATTTGAAATTATTTAAGTTTAATGCCGCAAAATTTTAGATGGAAAATTTGAAAAGGTAATTTTTCATATTTTTCTAATCATAATTTAAATTAACGATTTTATGTATTAAGATTTGAGACTAAACTATGATTAAAATATATACGATTCATCTCTTTTTAAGGTTAATCATAAAATATTAAATCCAAAATTTAAGTTCAAAAATAATCTTGATAAGAGTATTCAAGTTTGAAATAAAACAAAATAAAATGTTAACTTTACATCGATCTTAGTTTGGAACAGTTTTTCAAATGCAATACTTTGTAATTTATATTATGTTATATTCATATTTTAATATTTACAAATTATTTAAATGTTTTATACAATGAATGACGTTATCTGATTAGAATTAACATTGAAAATATACAAAGTTATCCAAAATAAGAAAAAAAAAACTTAACCCTCCTAACCATCACGATCATTTAATTCATTGTAGACATCATATTAACACGTAAAAATTTAATCTATATAATTTAAATATAACACTGATACTTATAACAATTAACATTGTTATTTATTGGAATATTTTACTATGTAAATAAATAGATAATATCTTTTTACACCAATTGTGAATTTAGGACATTAAAATAAAAATAACTTTTTAATATAATAGATTATAAAATAATGCATTATTTCTAGTTCTGGTTGCGGACTCAATTTTTTCGTAAGTATTGTAAAAACGTGTTAGTATAAATATATGGGACGAGTTTATTTTAATCACATAAACTTTCTTCAATAATTATACCTATTGTTGCAAGATTAGTTTATATTTTTTACTTTATGCTATTTATATTTATAACTTTAAGCAATAAGGTATTTAATGTAAAATTTGATAAAAATAATGTTTAAAATAACTTTTCTCTTAACTTTAATAAAATTTTAATAAGTAAAAAATATTTGAAATAAAAATTATAATAACTACTAATTATATTCTTTATTGAAATTTCAAATTAAAATATTAGAATTAAATTACTTAATACATAATTAATTGTTTACACAGTATTTTAATTAAATGTTACTTAAATTTTTTGGAAAAATGTTAAGCTCACAAAAATAAATCGATTAATTTTGCATATGTATATATATATATATATATTATATGTGGTTATTCTGAAATAAAACCGTAGAATTGGAAGTGAAAAATTGTAATAACATAATTTTTTATTGGTTATTTTGCATAGCAGTAGATTACTGACGTTATGCAATAAATTATTCTATAATTTTTATAGCTACATGATGTATGACTATGATGTATCTCGTTACGAAAAAATGTTTGTCCGCTCTATTTAAGCAGCTGTAGGTCACACTAAAGGGATCAATTTTAAACTGGGAAAGTGTTCAGTTTTTCGTACTTTCTCGGTTTATTGACGAAACATTAAAAAATTTTTTGTGACAACATTACCCACGTAAAAAAATATACATAGAAAATCACTTTCTATCTCTAATACATACAAAAATAGAATTTAATCTCGTACAGAAACAATGTAAATAGTATTAACCGTAGTTTGAAATATACATTACAGAAGTTTTACTTTTAAAAAGTAACACGATTTAAAAATTATAGGTTTACCAAAATATGAATATAAAAAATGACAAGTGCAAATACTATTCATTGAATTCTTGTGACTTAAGCGCATAGAATTTTGAAGGTCTACAGTTCAATTCACTTTATATTTTAGATGTTGGAACTGATATATTAATTAGGTAGTATTATTTATGATGAATGAACACAAAACTAATTAGTTGATAAAACCACTGAGTAAAATTAATTTATAAATAAATGCATAGTAATGTATTTTTCTCGGAATCCTTAAGAGTAATGTTTTAAAAACTAAACCGTATATTCTATCAAAAATCAATTAAGATAGTTTAAAGTGAAAAATAGTTAACAATAACTACTGGCATAAAAGAATTTAATAATTAAAAATTTACTGGTTTTGTGAAAATAAAAACAAAATTCTAAGCATTTAAAAAAATGTTTTCATAAAAGTTCAAAATTATAAAATTAAATTAAATATTTTAAAACTATTAAATATTTTTGATTAAAAATTGTGTTAAAAAATAATTATTGATTTCAATAAGTTAATAATCGGGAGCTTGAGAAATTAAAATTTTTATAGTAGGCTACGTTCTATAATTTTATAAACTTTAGCAATACATAAAATTATATATTTAAAAGATCACAGAGTTTTGGCAATAGTAAATTAGGTTTGATAAACCTAATTAAGAAGACAACAATTGTGAACTTTATTTGAAGCTGAAATGAAATAAATTTTAATCAGAACCATAGGCGCCGCTAAAAATTTTTTCAGGGGTACATCGTGCACAGTATATACTTAAAAGTCTAAATAATCTTCAAAATGTTAAATTTAAATACGTGGGAATAATTTTTAAAATTGTATAACAATACAAAGTTATTTTAGTTTTTTTGACAACTACAAAGAATTACGGATTATTAAAAAATCAGTTATAATAATAAGTTATCAGTTATAATAGTATCTATCCTTTCTTTTATTTTTGAAGAGTCAAGTGGTGGAAGTGTATCCCCTTTTACTCTCCTCACGGCGTCAATGATTTAAAATTATTAATAGGTAATTAGATGTTCATACATAAAGCAATATTTTATCAACTAATGCAACAGTAAAACATAATTGACCTTTGAACAGAAAAATAGAATTCTATTATATATGTTGGCATAAATCTACAGATTACATTAATTTCAATAATTTTTAAACATGTGCTTAATGATGTAAATATGTAGTGTGGATGACGTCTATTTAATTATTAAGAATAGTAAATAAGACAAAATAGATGACTTTCAACAAGGAGTACCTATAAAAATATACATATATAAAATATATAAAAATATATAACAGTTAATGAGGTTTACTGACAAAATCATAATTATTAAAAAATGTATTAAATTATTAACATACACTAATCACATAAAAATGTTTGAAATTGTACCATCGATAATTTCAACAATTAACTATATAAATAATTTTTGTTAAAAAATAGTTTTAAATTAATAAGCAGTAACACTTAAAATGTAATTCCATCGTTGAAAAATTAATTTTTAATTTATTCGATTCTTTTGTAAATCAAATTATTATTACAACGTAGTAAAAAATGCACGTGACTTATAATTTTTTTCTCCACACGAATATATTGATAAAATTATGAAACGATCATAATTGAAATCAGAAAAACTTTAATATGTGCAGTAAAACGGGTCATGAAAGTACATTTTAAACTGGTATCCTTAGGATAATCAAAATAAAATGATATCATCGAGCAGTGTATTATAATAAGAAACAATACATTGCTGCGGCCAAACATATTTCACAGCCGAACCAGTGATGGACGTCGAGAGAACCTCAAGCGTACATGGAAGAAAAGGGACTGACTGTCGATAAAACCAAATAGTGTAAAGTAAGTACCTCGGGACCAGCCGCAACGACGGCATCCACCCTGGGTTTTCTGGGCGGTGGCGGACGGTTGTTCTTCTGCACGGCATTCAACCACGCTTTGACGCGTCTGTTGTTGCTGGCGTTTCGTTTATATGTCAACCGGCCACCGTTGGCCACCGTCACCGTCGCTGACTCTTGCTGGCCATCGCCGTCGCAAAGAATCGTAGTCCAAGGCGACGGTGGACCCGCGGTCGTCTGCGGTGGTAACACGTATAACATCATAACACCGGGATTGGTAAAACGACGATATTGAAATTGATCTCCCTCCGCGCACACTTTAAATCCACACGAAATCCGTCGAGGCAACGCTACAATGATATTATTCAGTACTCGTCGGGTTACGTGTTCAACAATTCGGTCGAAGACGGTTGCGGCGACGGCGACGGTGAAGGAGGACGTCGACAACGATGAAACATGTAGTAGAAGACGGGTTCATAGTGATCACTTCGGGCAGTGCCGTGGGAAGACAACGGTCTTAACGCGATTGACAATAACTAATATTATTAAAATCCAAACGTCATACGGTCCCTGCGAAATTTGCTTACGTTATCGTTGGCCACCACACGTGGTCGGCGCAGAAAGATGTCGCAGAGCGCACAAGGAACGACACCAAACACGTACCACGAGCAACGGCGGTCACACAGACGACTGACTGACTGACTACCGTTTGCTAGCGTTCGCTCGGTGGGGGGGGGGAACTCGCGGGTTCGTTCAAGCCGACACCGCCACTGTGCCGCCACCGTAGTGCTTTGTCAGTACCAAACTACGCTGCAATGCCGATATCGTAGTCGATATTTCGTCAACACATCGCATCCGATAGTACCAAAGCACTTGATCCGTTTCTATTTCTTTGCTGCAATACCGATGGATGGATATTCTTACAAAGCGTCTAAATTTTACCGATTTCAATAATTTTTTTTTGTTCTTTTATCGTCAAATTTGTTTAAGAAATCCATATTATCACGGTTTACACGAAAATATCGTTAGACAATACTAACCGGTCGCAGTCACGATTATCGCCGTGTAAATCATGAATTATCCGGAAAATTGTCCTCATTGACGATGCCAAAAGGAAACAAAGAACCGACACGATGAATCGATTTTTAATAAAAAAAAAAGCAATAATTCGTAAGATGAATAAAATTAAATGAAAAAAAATAGATTATTTTAAACAGTTAATAATATAAATACACAATGAACACGTGTTTAATGTATGTATTGTTTGCATATAAAATATTTACTTATATTTTGTATCGAAAATAATGAATTTAGAAATAAAGTTTGAAAAATATTAAATTTTGATCTTATGAAAGCTATTTATGATTATAATATTATCATAGTATTGTTAAATAATAACTATATTTTATTAATAATTGTTTAAGTTAAAACACTTTTAAAGTAAACTATAATAAATAAAAATATACATGTATTATTAACCAAGAGAAAGCACTCAAAAATCTACAAAATATTTTATTTATCTTTAGAAATAATAAATATAAAAATAAATAAAGGTTTATCTGATTAATCTTCTTTAAAAACATATTTTCTAGATTTAGACATAACAAACAAAGACTTTAATTTTTGCGATTTTGGTAAAATAAATACCGTCGCAGACAGATTTCAAATCTAAAAATTGCTAGATGAATCTTTTGAACAGTAATTCTATCTAAAAAAGTGTTGATAGAAAAAAATAAACATAACTGTAAAATCATAAGTCCTATGCTTCAATCAGAATCTAAAATAAAAACTATTATCATATATGTAAATAATAATGATTAACATATATATAGTGCAAACACTATTTGAGAACACTCAATATCTTTGCGTAGAGACCTACAATTTGAATTCTGTTTTTTAGTTGGTTTTCATTACATATATACATATATTATAAATTATAAACACGTGTAAATCTCACATTGATAAATAAAGGTAAAAATATTAAGTCTGAATAAACCTAGAACAATTATTTTCAGAATTATAGTGAAAATATTAAAAACCCGCGCATTTTACCATTGTTTTTTAAATTGCTATAACTTGGTTAATTTTGGTCTTGGAAAAAAGCTACCAAAATGCATAAAAAATTAGTGGTTAAAATAGGTGGTTACCATTTAAGAAAAAAAGGTGTACTGCGCATTTGTCTAATTAAGTTAAAAAAAATCTGAACATTATAAAAATGTATATTTTTATGTAATAAAAACTAATTAAAAAACAATTCAAATTGCAGGTCTCTACACAAAGATATATATATATAAAATAAATAATTTTTATAATACACTATAATATATAATGTTTAAACACTTAGAATAATGTATGTTCATTCCAGGGACGCCAGAATTGAAACAGAGGTAACTGCCTCCACGAGAAAAATGTCTTGGGAGGGGGGATGACCACAACAAAACACGGCATTTTAATAAAATTCGGATTTATTTCCATTAATTAAAAGAAATCAAAATTTAATTGTCATGATCTTATCTGCCTATTTGGCTTTTTCTATACCAGAAATTCAATAAAAAATTCATTTTTATACCTTTTAATTGTAGTAAAAAGTATTATCAATATTAACACTTGCTATAGTTAATATAAGATTAGATATAATTAGTTATTATGAATTAAGTAGAACACATAATTTCACTTTTATATACAATATCTGCTACCTCTGCAACACCAGAATGGACTTTCAGTGGACTTTCAGTAACCTAACCAATTGAAAATATATTTGAAGTCAATGATGAATCAAAAATGGTTGACACAAATGTACTACATACACACTTTATTTAACCTCCTCCCCAGAAATAATAATTATACTTTCAATAATATAATATAAAATAATAATTTTTCATTTGATCTGCCTCTATGATCCCGAAATTGTTACGACGTCCCCTGTCCATTCAATTCAAAATAAGCAATAGTTAAATAAATTTATAAAAAACATTCAAATCAAATTGATCATAGATAAAATTTAATTTTTTATTAAAGAAATAATATTATTAGAATGATTTACTAATATTTAGACTTGGGTGATGAAAGGTTTTTCTGTAATTTTCAAAATTAATAATTATTTGAAATAATCACTTACAACAAAAAAATTAGAAGTGCCAATTGTTTTTAGCTAATTTTGGTGTCAAAGAAAACAAAATATATTCAATGAGTTTATACTTTAAAAAAAAATATATTGAAAATATCCTACATAATAAAATTCAACAGACCATAATATTATTTAATTATCAAATAAGCATTCAGTTGCAATTAAATAATGATTACATTTCCATGTGATTATTAAATCTTCGTTATGAGGATAGTGTATAAACATAACGTATATACATCATCTTGATAATAATATGTAGATAATATTTTAATAAACTCGTATATTATATGAGTAATTAATACTATTTATACTATATAATCATCGTTATTTTTTACATTTAAATGTAAAACTGTTTTAATAATATACAAATAAAATATGATAAAAAAAAAAACATTAAAAAATTCAAACTTAAATACATAACTGTAACATATTTTATGAAATATTTTTATTATGAAGTATATCTAAATCACTTATAAAAATCTATCCATTTTATACTTCTTTAAGATATGTAACAAAACAATTACAGATAATTTGTTTATAATTATAACAAAGTAAACATAAAATCAGTTACACTGAATGAACTCTAGTAATTTAAATATTCTAGGTCAACTTTGTTTACATACCTGTTACACTATAAAATCCCATTAATGTTTTTTTTTTTTTAACTATAAACAATAGTATTTACTATTTATAAATCTACATTTTATGAATTGGATGATTCAACTTAATTATCTTTTTTACTCCTAAATATGTACCTACTAATACTATAATTATTGATACTACAATAAAAAAATAAACTATGTTATTAAGTAACTATAATATACAAATATAAAGCATTTCAAATATTAAAAACGCACGGATAAATAAGATAAGGATAAAATCTACATATTTGGTCTATCTATTATAATTACTTTTGTTATTTCTTAAACTTATCAAACAATAAAAGTTATATGACAACTTTAATACCAAAATGGTACATAAGTATATAAATATATAAACCAACTGAGTTATTTATTATAGTAAAATATAATATCTATGAAAATAATTTTCTTACAACTTTTTATTGAATATATATTTAAATATTTTTTTTTTTTTACTTATTCTGCAATGGTAATTCATCTTTTATAAATAGTTGTAAGAAAAAAAAAAACTAAATTTAGTATTATTAAAATTAGTATCTACTGTTAAAATAGTCAATCAAAATACTATGCAGCAACAAAAAGAAAAAACTAACGGGACAAATAACTTATTAAAAATTATTTTCAATTGGGCAACAGTATTTTTATAACAAATTAATGAATAATTTAACACATATATTTTATACTTAATTTTTAATAAAGATTTTTTCAATAAAAAGTTCTCGCTGATAAGATTATTATTATTGTATACATTTTCAATATAAATAATTTATGAACTTACAAGAATATAAAATTAGAAATAAGAATATCATTTATCTTCTAAAATTTTTGATCATAGAATCTTTATAATCATATAAACTAAAACCTAATAATGATTTCGAAAAATCTCCTATCAGGAAAAAAGTATAGATCGTCGTCTGCTGCATTTTATTTTCAAAATTTTTCGAGTAATAAATATTTAAGAGTACTTACAGAATTCTGAGATGAAGTTCCAATGGTCGGAGACGTTTGTATAGCGGCTAAAGCCATGCACGCCAACTGTTGTCTCAGTGCAGTCCGACAAAATCTCCGATGACAATGTTTGACGGATGTAAATTAAACGTACAACACTCGATACCACGTCTTAGTTGATTAATCGTTGACAATTGAATTAAGAAGAATAAAAAATATGAAGTCAAGAAGTTTAGTATTACCTAACTTGTAATCAGGAAAGAATGAACTCAGGAATACAGCAGAGATAACAGTTCGTATATACCATGGTTATGGTATTTATAATAACCGTTATCGTCAGTTCACTCGATTATAGGCAAGAACTCTAAGGTCACGCGTCAACTCGTTCCATTCTGAATTTTGATATGAAATATTTTATCAATTGTGATCATTATTTTTATCTATTATTGTGATTTGAATTTTTAATATAAATAAAATATTTAGGCTAATAACCTGTGATGTTGAAGCCTTATTTTCTAATAAAAAAAATAAAAAAAAAAAAAAATATTTAGTCGGGAAGTTGATAAAATATTAAAACAAATCTATGTCGACTTAGTACTTCATATATTAATTATTTAAATCTAACTCATTAATAATGAAATAATTTATTTTTGGTTTAATTTTACTAAATAAGTAAGATATAATTGTCATAAAAGTGAATGAAATAAAATTCAAGTAGAAAACTAAAAAAATGAACTATTTAAATGTTTGTTGTGTAAAAAAAAAAGTTTAAATTATTCATGCTACCTTAGACTAATCTTACTTCAACGCTCCTAATTAACCATTAATAAAAAAAAAAAAAAAGATTCGAAATCTTACTATAAATTTTATATTATTAATTCGACATCTTTTATTCCTATATATTTATATTTTAAAAAGTATACGCTATTCCATAATGTTCATAGGCAAAATGATTGTCAAGACAAATTAAATTTTACAAATGGTAC